TTCAACGATCCGGTACCAGCGCGACAGTCTGGCTGATTTCGCCTGCTACGTCGGCCGCTTCTACCTCTTCATCTGGTTGGAGCTGCCCACCTACTTCCTGCGCAAAGGAAAGACCCTGCTGGGTTTGAAAGCCGCCTTTTGGGAACTCAGCAGCTACCTGATGATGTATCTGCTCTGGAACTACGTCAGCTGGAGAGCGACGCTGTTTGTCTTTGTTCTCCCGTTCCTGCAGCTGCGTGTGGGTCTCATGGTGGGAAACTGGGGACAGCATGCATTTGTCGACGAGACGGATCCTAACAGTGACTTTCGCTCCAGTATCACCTTGATTGATGTAGCGGTATGCTCCAATTATTCCTCGATTCTAACACATACTCACTATGGATAGAGCAACCGCTTCTGCTACAATGATGGCTACCACACCTCGCACCACTTGAACCCGCGCCGTCACTGGCGCGACCACCCCCTCGCCTTCCTGCGGCAAAAGGACCGGTATGCATCCGAGCATGCCCTCGTGTTCCGCAACATCGACTACATCATGATCACGGTGCGACTGATGCGCAAGGACTACGACCACCTTGCGCGGTGTCTGGTGCCGATGGGCGACCAGATCGGCATGACGCATGCAGAGCTTGCGGCGATGCTGCGTCGCAAGACGCGTCGCTTCAGCGAGGAGGAAATTAAGCGGAAGTTTGCTTGATTGCCTCTCTCCATTCTTACATTTTGTGCTATACCCTAGCTGCTTTTGGAAGGGATTCCGATACTGGAAGAGGAGGTAGGGTTGTATATACAGACTCACATACTCTAAAAGAAGATGTAATACATAATCTATTGCATACACATACACATACCCATCTATGCCATGCCTTCTCCCCACTAAGCAGCAGGAGCAGCAGACCCCCGACCAACCCACCTCCCCAACAGCGGCACCCTCTTTAGCACCCTGGGCACAATCCTCGACCCATGCACAATCAACGGCACAACAGCTACCATCCACATCACATACACCACCGCAACCGCAAACCCTAACCTCACCCTCTCCCAGAACGACACTTTCACCTCCCCATTTCCCCCCAACAACGCCCTCTCCTCATCCCTTACCCCATTGGCTTCCAAAGCATCCACCATCCTCCCCACCACCCTCCGATTAATCCTCTTCCAAGTCATGTCCTCCGCAAACACCCTCGCGCCTCTCCCCAACCGCCCCCTCAACCTCCCATCCCGCAACACCTCCCCCACAATCCCACTGAACACACCTACTTCCCCCTCCGCCACCGGAACCAGATACCCCGTCTCCTGATTCCTCACGATATCCGACGGTCCCCCCTGATCCCTCGCGATGACCGGCACCCCACTCGCCATAGCCTCCAGCACAACCAGCCCGAATGTCTCCGTAACAGAGCAGTGCAGGAAGATATCCGCGGAGGCGTAGACCTCCGCTAACTCCACCCCAGTCCTGAATCCGAGGAAGACAACATGTGAAGAGACGTGGCGAAAGAGGGATTGAATGCGTGCTGTCACAGCTGGATTGGCGTTCCCACCGACTATCACCATCTTAAAGGGGATTTTCGTACTGGAGAGAAGATGGGTAATGGCTTCAGCGAGGAACTCGAAGCCCTTTTCTGGCGCGATCCGACAGACTGTTAGGAGTATGGCCTCGCCATTCGGGGCTAATGTATCCCGTAGGGCCTGGGATCGACGGGACGGGTTGAAGAGAGTTGTGTCGACTCCCCGTCCTAACCGGTGGGTTTTGTGGACGGGAGTATTGGTGGATTTCAAGTAGGTTAGGACATCGCTGCACGGGTAGAAGATCGTGTGGATGCAGGGCGTGCGGAAGAGATATCCCTCTACGAGGGAGAGGAGCCAGACGGCAAAGGTGGAGAGGGGTCTAGGGAAGATGATGGAGCTGTAGGAGGAGAGGTCTGTTTGGTAGTTTAGGAGCGTTGGTGGAGGGGAGTGGAGTTGGCGGAGTTGGAGGAGGAGTTGGAAGCCTAGACTGGCTGGACTGGCGATGTAAATTAGGTCTGGGGTGAAGGTTTGGGGGTAGATTGTTGTGGTGAGGTGGAAGGGATAGACGAGGGTGAGGTCTGGGTTGTAGGGGAGGGGGTAGCCGGGGAGGCGGATTGTTGTTGTTTCTTCTTCGTGGGTTTGATGATGTTGTGATGGTGAGGGCGACGATGATGGTGGTGGTAAGGTGAACTGCGGTGCCACGACGGCCAGTTCGACGCCATTGCGACGCAGATACTCGATCAATTTGCCGGTTGTGCGACTGACGCCGTTGACTGGACCTAGGGATTCGGTAGTGAGGAGGATGCGTTTTCCTTTGAGGATGCTGGGGAAGTCTTCAGAGGGGGGTGTGAGTTGGGGCATGTTGATGATGCTGATACTATTCAGCCAGTATACTGATTGGCGGACTGGACATCTATGCATCTACAACAATGACCAGGAATGCACACACGTACTTATGTTCTACAAGAATAGACAATACGGTGTGCAGAGCAACCAGAACCAGAAGGACAAAACTAACACCCACAGATCATTACTCCCCTTCACTGAGAATCACTGCAGGTGATGCACAAGAATCGTTCGTGTCGCCGGGCTGGATGCGGGCACGTGGGCTGGCTGGAGAGAATCGCTCGTTCGGGCGGATCACCAGCCAAATTTCATGCCTTCAATGCCTCCTGCATCCCCCCGAATGGTTGATCCAGTGGCAGTCCGTACTGCCCCCCGCGTGCATCAACCCATGCAGCTCTGTGGCATTGGCTCCCTCTTTCGCCTTCATGCTCTGCTGCTCACGTTCCGCTGCAACGGCCATGCGCCCTCCGCGCAAGACCTTATCTCCTCGGTCGCCCGACGATCTCTTGCTTCCAGGTGTCTGGGCAGATGCTTATACTGCTTGTAGCCCCGTCTTTCTTGTCTTGTCTTGTCTTGCCCCTCAGTCGTCTCGTCAGTTTACTGGACTGACTGGTGAGTGAGGTCTGTCGCCGACGGTTACACAAGAAACACTACAGCAGCAGCAGCAGCAGCAACACAATGGATCTCGCTACTTCACCACGAAGCTCTCTCGAATGGAGTCTAGATGACAGTTCAACCTGTCCGACTACTCCCGCATCGAGTCCGCTGTTTCGCGCCGCAAAGGTGGACGATATCTCGTCACATTCCACCTCGCCTGCGGGAATCACAACAGACACCCAGGGAGCCCACAACGACGCTGCGACCGCCAATTCAGCGCGTATACAGGCCGATGACCGTGTAAAGAGCGTCTGCGTGGTGGGTGCAGGATACGTGGGTAGGCTTCTGCTGGCACACTGCCCTTATCTACGAGCCAAACTAAGCCAGCCCTACAGGCGGACCAACCGCGGCTGTTCTCGCGCTATACAATCCCTCCGTCGCAGTGACAGTGCTGGACCGGGATCCTCGTCGCATTCAGAGCTGGAAGTCGGCGCATCTTCCGGTACATGAACCCACCCTGTACAAAGTCGTGCGCGCAACACGCGATGGCTCGGACGTGGCTCAAAATGTTGGCACCGAAGGCTCAGAGTACTCGCGCCGACAGCCCAACCTGTTCTTCACATGCGACTCGACGGCCATTGCAGACGCAGACATGATTTTCCTGGCCGTCAATACACCCACCAAGACGTTCGGTCTCGGCGCCGGTAGAGCCACCGACATGACAGCCGTCGACGGTGCCGTGCAGGAGATAGCACGGCACGCAAAGCCAGGAGCCATCATCGTCGAGAAGAGCACCGTGCCATGTGGAACAGCCGAGCGAGTACGACATACAGTAAGCCTCATCCTCACCTCTCCCATAACGAGAAGTAAAGTTGACGGACCAGCTCACCACCCTCCGCCCCAACACCCCCCTTCGAAGTCCTCTCCAACCCCGAATTCCTCTCCGAAGGCTCCGCCATCGACAACCTCGTTCACCCGGACCGCGTCCTAATCGGCTCCTCAGGAACAGCCCCCGGCCGGCGCGCAGCCCGCATGCTCGCCCACCTCTACTCCTGGGTCCCTCCGACGCGCATCCTCCAAGTCAACGCCTGGTCATCGGAACTCGCCAAACTCGTCGCCAACGCCATGCTGGCCCAGCGCATCAGCAGCATCAACTCCATCAGCGCGATCTGCGAAAAGACCGGCGCAGACGTCGACCAAGTGGCGCGCGCCATTGGCATGGACGCCCGCATCGGACCACAGTTTCTCAAAGCCGGAGTCGGATTCGGCGGATCCTGCTTCCGCAAAGACATCGCCAGTCTGACATACCTCGCTGAATCACTAGGACTAGACGAAGTCGCGCACTACTGGCGCCAGGTCAACGCTATGAATGAGTACCAGCGCGTGCGGTTCGCACGGAGAGTCATCGACCGCTTCGACGGGAATCTCTCCGGTAGGAAGATTGCCGTGCTGGGGTTCGCTTTTAAGAAAGATACCGGGGATACGCGCGAGTCGCCGGTTGTGGATGTCATCAGACTGTTGCTTGAGGAGAGGCCGGCGGAGATTGATATCTTTGATTTGTTCTGCCATGAGGAGGATATTCTGCGTGAGTTGGAGGCTGTCTGTGGGAAGGAAGCTGTGGCTGCTAGTGTTAAGGTCTTGTCGGATCCGTATCTGGCCTGTTCGCAGGCTAATGCGGTTTTGGTCATGACGGACTGCGAGCAGTTCAAGAATGGCCGGAAGCGCAGTGCTGCTCGCTCGGACTCGGAGGTGTTTGAGAGTCTGGATGAGATGCTTTCGCCAATGCGCAAGGATGAGGAGTGGACGTACAATGGGGCTACTTATCGATTGACGCCGGAGGAAGGGTGCGGGAGTGACTGCGCGGCCTGTCGGAGCTGGGCACCGCGGTCTGTGGCTGTGGTGAATGAGCCGTTGGAGTGGGCGCGCATTGCGTACAACTTGAAGGATCCGAAGTGGGTGTATGATGGACGGGGATGTTTAGATGGGGCAGAGTTGCAGAAGTTGGGGGTGGAGAGTGAAGCTATTGGGCGGATGTAATCATACTACCATTTAATTTCATTGATAGATAGATTGCAAATTAAATACTACTTAATACTATCATATATACCATACCCAATCCCAATCCCAATCCCAATCACATCAAACACAACAGATAGAAAAATTACAGAGAAGCCTCAAACTTCCCATCCACCTCCTCCACCTTCTTCACAGCCCTAATATACCCCTCCTCCTTCTGCAACCTCTCCGCATACTTCCCCAACAGTGGAAACTTATCCAACTGATCCTGCAACCTCCCGGACATAGCAATCACGGGGAAACTCATCATAATATCCGCGGCCGTCAATTCCGTCCCGCACAGATACGCACCCCCATTCGGACTACTCCGCAACTGATCCTCCAAAAACTCCAAATGCGACTGGATATTCCTCGCCAGGAAGGCCTTTTCCACCTGGCCCGCCACAAGGCGCGGAAGCGGCTTGACGAAGAAGGGCATGCCGGGGGGGTTTTTTACCGCTGTCACACACATTCTTTATTAACATCCTTGTCCGCAGGACATATCCCATAAAAGGAGAGGAAAAACTTACTATCCATAACCAACTGCATAACTAAAAACGGCATGAGACTTGCCTCAGCATAATGCATGAAGTAGCGATAGCGCATCCATTCCTCGGTTTCACCGCCGACCACACCCTCCTGGTTGGGTTTCCATCGAGCAGGGAGGAGGGGTTTCTCTGCTGCGTTGTCGCCGAAGTGATCGAGCAGATACTCGATGATAATGCCGGACTCGGCGAGCACGATGGGCTTCTGGTCTGGAGGGGCGTTCGCGGGTTGGATTGTTAACAAAGGAGACTTTCCGAGAGGATGGATCTCTTTTAGTTCCGGCGGTGCGAGCTTGTCGGGGCCGCGGTGGTAGATCTTTAGCTCGTAGGTTAGGTGCAGGGCTTCGAGGAGCCAGAGGATGCGGTGGGAGCGGGATTGGGAGAGCCTGTACACATTATAGAATTATTTCGTTGTTAGTGGTTGGGGTGGATGGAATGGGAGGGAGGGTATTACCAGTAGAGGGTGATTTTGGTGCCTTTGTTGGGGTCGGTCATTTTGAGGGTGTTGATTGATGTGATTAATTTGAAGGGGATAGGTGGTGTGGTGAATAGGAGGAAGGTGTGTATGTTGTCTTATATGTGACAAGCCTAGAGATGAATGTGATTGAGTGCTCATCACACATAAATTAGAGCTTATCATGAGCGAACCTCGGATGTTCTCGTGAAGACTGACGCCATGAGTGGGGCGCCCATTTTTGCGATCATACTGTAGATACCAGACCACGGAGAGGAGGGCTTCTACTATTCAACATCGTGTAGTGTAGATAAGCAGTGAGTTGTGTATGTTATTGTTGCTGACTATGTAGATTGTATCTGAAATAATCATCAGTAATGATATAGTGATCATAATAACATTCTGATATCCACTTACCTGCATACCTGCATACATGCATAGCTGCATAGTATAACAATGTTATGCCACTTACTAATTATGCCGCTCATCACATGACCCAACCTCAACATCATCACCACCACACCCAATACGCATATACCCCCAGCTCGCCAGCAATAAACCAGCGCTCCCCAAACCGCAACCATGGCCGGTCCCAGCAAGTGTATGTCCTTCACCTCTGATTCCCCTCAATTCCAATTGCTAACCGCTACCTCCAGCTTTGATCCTTGATCCGGCCCTCCAGAAATACTACGGTCCGTTTGTTCCCGCCAATAAGACTTGACGCATTACATTACTCCCCTCCCTCGAAAAAACAACAATCACCTCTCAAAGGGGGCATTAGGAGGAATACATACTTGGATGGATGAGAACTGACAATTGGGTTTTGCAGAACTCAACGCCAACCGCTACAAGTACTTCCGGTGGACGCCGCGCCATGCCTGGTTCTCGTTCCTTTATATGGCGCTGATTCCTGGTGCGCTGGGCTATGTCGCTTACAAGACTGATGTGAGTGATCTGGGTTATATTGGGTGAGCTGTGTGGGTGAATGCTAATGGTTGTGTAGGGTCTGTACCAGCTGCGTGGAAAGCGCAGGGGCGATACGATTGTCGAGTGGTAGATTGATTCGATCCTCTCATGTGTGGTTGGGCGGGAGAAAAGCGTGATGTGATGTGATGTGATGGGTCGGGCTGGATGTGTATCTACTACTACTATTATACCGTTATTGAAGATTTCGTTTACTACAGCAGGTTCTTTGCATTGCTGATGAGCAGAGCACAGTCAATATTACAGACAGACGCATTACTAGTAGATAGTAGACTAGACATCCCTGTAGCGAACCGGGTATCCTCAACTCCTAACACTCATACATACACATACAGCATCAAAATCAATCATTCAAGCAAGTAATTAGTACGGCGCCCATCCCCTTCTCCCTCCTCTCCCTCCACCACCTCCACCACCACCCCTCTCCTCCGGAACCCTCTCACCCCGTCTCCAATCCCCCGGTGGAATCCTCCCCCCTCTCATCCCACTACCACCAGCGCCTCCACGATACCTCTCCCCCCTACCAGCATCCCCAGGGAACGCCCTCATCCCCCCACCCATCGCCATCCCGCGACCGGGGTTAACCGGCGGCGCCACAGACCCATCCTCAAGCGGCGGCAGTACCGCACAATCGACATAATCTCCAATGACGAACCTTGCCTCCTGCAGCGTCTTATCCGCATCATTGCCTTGGATCCTCAACCTCCCTCCTACTCCAGCACCACTACCCTTCCTCTGCCCTCCTTCCTCCCCATTCGCATTCTCATCCTCATCCCCACCATTCGCAATCGCACTCTCCCTCGGACCGATAATCACGCTCCCCAAATCCTTCGCGAGATATCTGCCCCGCGCGTCGGGCCCCATCGTCGCGGCGCCTTTGGTGTCCGGGTATATGAGGCGGAAGCAGAGGCGCGTACCGACCGGCGGGTCGGGAAGCAGACTAGGTAGCGCGGAGGTCAAGAGGTGGGAGAGTTCACGGAGAGTGCATGATTGCCAGGTGTAGATTTGGAGATGTGGAGGGAGTTGTTGTGGTGGTGGGGGACTGCGCGTGCGGATGGCGTTGGGGCCGCTCGTGGGACCGCTGTAGGATGAGGAGGGGGCTGAGGAGGAGGAGAAGTCGGAGAGATGGTGGTAATTGTTGAGTCGGTAGAAGAGCTTGAGGTGGAAGGGGGTCGTGGTTTGGCGGTCGATTGGAGGTGGTGTCATTTTGCTGCTCTTCTTTACTTTTCGTTTGTTTTGGTAGTCGCTTGTTGATGTGGTCGGTTCCAAGAGATAGAGTGTGCGATTGTAGTGTGTAGTATAGGATGGTGGTTATTGCATTGAAAGAGAGAATGGACTGAGGTAGAGTAGTAGAGTGGAGGATGAAGCTTGCAGCAAACAAGCTATCCAGGCGCGGGTGTTTCTGCTGGATCTGGACGGCGGAAGTTCCGCCGCGGCAAGTTTGCCGAACACGGGTGTCTCTTTACCTCCGATTCACCCAACTCTATCTATCTAATCGCCACAACCAGCACTACACCTTTACTGGCATCAAACTACAACGCCAACATGGACTTCGCATCGTTAATGTCCAAAGAAATCTCCAAAGCGAAACCCAAAGCAGACTCCCAAGACACCTCCAAACCCAAATACACCCGGCGCGGCGACCTCGAAGCCGCCCGCATCGCCGCCTACAATGAAGAACAAGAGCGCCTCGCCCGCGAACGCGAAGAGCGCAACGCCCTGAAACGCAAGCTCGAAGACGAAGAAGCCGAGCGTCGTCGCGAACGGGAAGAGAAGAAGCGCAAATTGGCCGAGGAGTCGCGCAAGAAGCGCGAAGAGGAAGAAGCTGCTCGGGAACGAGAGCGCAGGAAAAGACTCGGCTTGCCGGAGCTGCCGCCTACGGAGTCTGGAGATGATAAAGAGGGTGAGGGCAAGGAAGGTGGCGAGGAGGATATACCGGAGGAGGAGCTGTTGAAGAAGTTGCGGGATATGGAAGAGCCGGCGATATTGTTTGGAGAGACGCATAAGAGCCGGCTGAGACGGTATAGGCGGCTGTTGCAGCGGTCGTTGACGCCGCAGCCGCAGTTGTCGGATGGGCCGATTCCGACGACGTTGGAACTGGTGCCGGAGGTGGATATGAAGATTCCGGAGACGGCGCCGAAGGATCTGGAGGGGAAGAAGTTCCTGTTTCGTCAGCTGGCGTCGTACTTTAATATGGTGCTGCGGGAGTGGGAGTTGGCGTTGGCGAAGCGAGATGCGTCGGTCAAGTTGAGCTTGCAGGGAAAGCAGGCGTATAATGCCATGGTGCAGTCGCGGGAGAATATGAAGCCGTTGTTTCGCAAGTTTGAGAAGGTGGATATCGATGATGGGGTGCTTGAGCATGTGGTTGAGATTGTCTCCAAGGCGCAGCAGCGGCGGTATGTCGATGCTAATGATGCCTATCTGAGGCTGAGTATTGGAAAAGCGTACGTGTCTTCCCTCTGTATTGAGGTTTTGCTCCTGGCTAATATTTCGCAGTGCTTGGCCTATTGGTGTTACCATGGTTGGTATTCACGAGCGATCCGCACGAGAGAAGCTGCATCAGAGCGATCAGCAGGCGCATATTTTGAGTGATGAGATTACGCGCAAGTACTTGCAGAGCATAAAGCGATGCCTCAGCTTTGCGCAGACGCGGTGGCCTCCGGATGATCAGTTGCAGATCATGGGCTAGCCTGATGTTGATATGTATCTATACCCATAAGACTTATGCTGTTCAACAATTACCTCTACATGATCAGTAAACACTAGCAAAGCTCCTGAGCAGAAGCAAGCAATCCAATAACACTTTACTCATGTATATTCCATTTAGCCAGCGGTTGACCTGCATCATTCGGCAGATCTACATCCACCAAGAGGCTTAAGGTATGTCTGATCTGCCAAGGGCGATCCCAGCTGACTCAGGAGCCGCCCTGATGCAGCAGACAACAGCCCAGATAGCACTACATCTGTGAATGTAAACACAGACGACCCTGTAAACACTAGCAAAATGCGATACAAATTCCCCATAAGCTACCCTTTTCTACCAAGTTCGCCATTCCCCAGTATCTGTAACCATGTCTCCGACATCAACTCTTCCAATTCAACAGGAAATGCATTTTCACCCTCACCAAATCCCGCCAAACACCACTCCCACCCGGCACAACCATAACAAGCGACTCAAACCAGACCTACCGAATCGAAGAATTGCTCACTCACGGCGGTAAGTCTGGCTTACACGTCTACCGAGCGAGGTACATCCATCCCATGTACCATACCATACCATTAACCCTAGACCAACCCGCTTATTCAACCACAGCACCACCACCACCACCACCAACAAATAGCAATACATCATAAAGAACAACATCCCAGGCGACTTCCAACACCAGCTCAACATCCAGAACCAGCTATCATCCTGTCCGAATATCCGGACATTCGTCGATTCTGTCCGCGAGACAGAAGTATTCATCTCCCCTTTCTAAGGGGAGATTTGCTCCGCTTTAGTCAGAGAAACTTTTCCCAAGAAACGAGAAAAGTGATTCTCCGCGATGCATTAAGTGGATTAGTTGAGATGCATGAGAGGGATATGGTGCATACTGGTAGATATCCTTGATTGTTGCTAATTGATACGTTATACTAACTACCCATGAAGACATAAACCAAACAACATCCTCATCGACCACACAGACCCCACCACTACGAACAATAACAAAGAGCCATCAATAACGTCAATCCAAATCTCCGACTTGGAAGATACAGTCATCGTCCCACCAGGGAAATGGCTGCGCGGACCCCTCTGCGGAAACGCACTCTGGCGCAGCGCCGAGAGCTGCGTCAGAACCAGGCGTCTGATGTGTTTTTGTTTGCCCTGGTTGTATGTTTAGCCTGTGTCTCGTCTTATTTCTTCATTGATTGTGATTCGGCTGACGTATCACGGTAGATGGTTTATGTGATGGCCAATGAAATGGTCCTTCGTGTTCCTGATGAGCAGTTGATTGCTGCGGATGCATGAAGGTATATTCTTCGTCTTCAACTGCCATACTTTGCCGACGTAGAGGGCGTGGAGCGCTTTCTTGAGCATATAGGGGCGCAAAATTCATTCTTTGATCGAATATTGGAGCTAATCAATACGTTTGGACCGGAGAATCCGAGACAGCCGGTTGAGTGTCGGGGGTTTCTGGAGCCGGGGTTGAGGGATTTGGTGGCTAGGATGACTTATCTTGATCCGAGGGGGAGGATTACCTTGAAAGAGGCGCTGGAGCAACCTTGGTTTGGGTGATTAATTTGAGGGAAGGGTTGGGGATGTCAAAAAGTGAAGTGGATGCTATGGTTGCTCTGGGAGGGTTGGTAAATGGGTTACGCGCAGAGTAGTATATAGTTCTACGTTAGTACTATCGCGGAATTCTGTTAGAACAGTGCTTACCTCTCGGCTTACATTTATGTGGGAATGAGTAGGGGTTAAGGTGGTGGCCAGGGTTGTACAATCGCGGGTGTACTTCTGTGGTAGTATACCATGCTAAAAGACTTCTTTTATTGCAAGTAATGACAAGGCCTCTCCAGTCATAATATATGCAGATCACTAGAACAATTCAGCAGCTATACATGAGTAACAACATATCCTCCCTTTATAAACAAAGCCAACGGCATGCTATGTACAATCATCAATCACATCTATCATCTATCATGTATCATTCATCATTCCTACCTCACGTCAAACCATCTCCAGAGCCACCTCCACAATCCGTTCGGCATAACCCTCTGCGGCCAAGTCGACGCCATGCGGTCGTTATCCACAGCACGGAACTCGCTAGGTGGCGAGATATCGTGTCCATCTATGCCGCGCATGACACCCAACGATGACTGTGGCCGAGAGGTATTGTTCGATCCACTGCGGACTCGTTCCTTACCCGTGCGCGCGTCAACCAACTTCCCGGCGGCTTGAACACAGCTACCGTACGCAAATCGGATGAGAGAGTCACCTGTGAGGCTGCCGATTACGAACACGTCTGGCGCGATCTCAATATCTTCATACACTTTGCTGCGCAAGGACCGGGCGGAGATGACGGGGCTCGTTTCTGTGGTTGCATCTTGGTCGAGTACTTCATTAAGAAGCGGACGGTCGAGGTAGTCGAGGGTGCCTCGTCGGCCAGTAGCGTACACCATCCCGCGGACGGCGCGGGTGATGGTGCTCCCGTCAGGCTGGCGGAATGTGACCAAAGCTTGACCCTCTTGCATCTCGACGTCCAGAACTTCCGAGTTAGGCAATCCTTCGTATATATCTTCCCATGAGCGAGTTTCCAAGAAAGGGATCGAGGTGGTGCGCCGCGGTTTTACTCGCTTCTTCGTGGGGTCTGCTGCAACGGCAGCTCGTTTCATCAGTCGATAGACTCCGGCGTATTCGGGATATGCTTGGTGATGGCAGCCACGCAGGGGTGATGACCGTCCTTCCGGATCCCATTTGAAAACATGGATGATCTTCTGATCTGCCGGCGCAGAGATGATGATGTCCGCGGCAGAGAATCCAGAGCCGATCACAAGCAGCGGAGTCTGCGAAGTGGGCTGGAGCGAGGCCAAAGGCTGCAGCATTGGGCTGGGCTGCAGCACTTGAGTGAATATACCACTAGCCAGGACCAAGTGCTTGCAGTGGATGTTGTGAGAGTGAATGTAAAACCCATCATCTGTTCGTGAGATGCCGGAGATGGTCTCATTAAACCGAAACACATCATCAATCTGAACCGCCTCGGGGTACGTGCGGAAGTAGCTTGCTGTTTCTTCCCGGCTGGGTCGGGTATATGCCGGAAGCTCCTTGCCCGTGATCTTCCGGTGGTGCTCAGCGAACGAATAGCCCGGGAGAGACAGCATCGACGCATAGCTGAGGGTCTGGATGTCCCAGCTGGCAGGCACGGGATTATCGGTCCACTGACCCCCTGCATGCTGAGCATTCCCGAACACCAAATGGGGAACGGCCTTTTCGGGCACGAACCGCCATTCGACATTCGTGATGGCCTCAAGCTCTTCCACATCCACGCTGGGACGCACCAGCGTGTCCAGAAGCACGTTCACAGGGAGAGCCTGCGTAGAGTACGACAGTCTCGAGGCGGCGAAATGATCCGTCAAAGCGTGCACGTCCACATGGAGCAACTCCGGGAAATCCTGCAGCTTCGCATGCAGAAGCGGGTCAGGATGAGGAGGATTGGAGGAATAAAATGGAAGATGGCCATGAAGAATATACGACAGAATCATGGCCGACGGCCCGTTCCCTGTGGGGGATCACATCAGCACGATAACACGGACCAGGGGGAGAAATCAGATGAAAATCCAGCATCTCCGTTGGCACGAAATGGCGACATACCGACGATAATGGTATCAGTCTCCAATGAAGGCATTTCTTGCGCCTTCGCCCGCCCAACCATCGTGGGGCATGCTGTTTGCGACATGCGATAGCAGGGTTCCTCTGATTAGTCCCAACCACACACAGATTGAATATCTACAGTAAAGCCACTACCTCCAGCTTAAGGGAGAGAACCGGAGGGCCATCGAGTGGCCGTTACATTGACAAGAAGGAGGAAAGATTAAGCTTGTAAGGAAGCCATAGGAAGAGGAAGGGGGAGAGGGGATGCCGATTCCGCGAGCGGACAAGGCAGGCCTGGGGAACGCTGACAAACTGACAAATGCAAGACCCTCAACTCGACTATGTAATCCTTACTTATTCCAGTAGGAATGGATCCAGCCAAGGGACGTGGGGGGGCGATTGCTTGCCAGCCTCCAATGATGACCGTTGCTCCGTGCCACCGGCGCATCCGGGGTCAAGAAGTTGGGAAGTTTGGCTGCCACAATTGACCCGGCAGGCCGTGGTGAATGGACCCCGTCAATCTGGGTTCCGAGATACTTTCATTGAATGGAAGAGCAACATTTCGGAGCGATAACGGCATTCCCGGATAATGAATAATATTCCCAATAAATGAAGAGATCGACAATGCATGACTTGACGTTGCGGGGTCTTCCTGTTCCGGAAGGTAGGGCTCGGGGCCTGCATCATATGTACCCTATACCCTACCTTCCTGTTCGAGACACGGCTGACGCGTGGAACCCCAGGCCATCAATCTATCGCCATCGGCGCTGGCCCAGACTTCTCCGTATCGAAGCGCAAGAGACGATACAAGCAGCAGGTGAAATAGTTTAAGAATCCAGCCTTCTGCTGCTGCCATGATTCTGTTACCTGAGCTGTCGTCCCGCCGGTTCTAATTGGAATTCCGAGGCTGCCTCCGCCGGAGGTTATCTGGTCTAGTCTCCGCAGTCCGTTCCTCTCCGCAATCATGTATCATCTGGCCAAGTCCCTGTATATGTACGCTACTAGCAAGGAGGGTGAGTCGATGTCTTTGTCATAATCCCATCCTTGCGCGCTAATATCACGGTAATAGAATACTCCGTACTCCTCCTTGGCCTCGATAACGCCGGCAAAACTACCCTTCTGTCGCAAATCAAAGCCCTCTATCAACCCCGACCAGATGGCGCCCCCGCCCCTAACCCCGGGAAAACCGTGCCCACCGTCGGCCAAAACGTCGCGACCATATCCTTACCGGACATGTATCTGAAGATCTGGGATGTGGGGGGACAAATCTCCATGCGGAACCTCTGGCAAAGCTACTACACCAGCTGCCATGCCATTATCTTCGTCGTCGACAGTGCCGACGTCGGTCAAGACCCAGATATCACCCGGCTTCCGAGTCGACGACCTAGCTCTGCATCCGGTCCGTCAGGAGGCCACCCAGGCGCATTTACGGAGGAAATGGTCGGGATCAATGCGCCTGGAAGCGATTTCGGTCGCCTCGACGAGTGTCGGCAAGTGCTAGAATCGGTTCTACAGCATGCGGATGTGGCGGGTGTACCGATTCTCGTTCTCGCCAATAAGCAAGATCGGGAGGACTCGGTGGAGGTTGTTCGTATCAAGGAGGGGTTTGTGCGCAAGGTCTTTGAGGGAGAGTCTGGGGCCGGGGTGAGGGATAGTCGTGTGTTGCCGGTCAGCGCGTTGATGGGGTCGGGCGTGCAAGAAGCGGTGGAATGGGTGCAGACGCGAGTCAAGTGGAATAAAGAGGGACGACCACCGTTAATGAAGTGATAGACTTGGGGAGCTGGAATGGTCTGTTGCGAAGAATTTCGATTCTTTTCTTGTTCTTATTCGTGTTATTCGGGCTTGAGTTTGGCGTTAAGAGGTTATGTGATCGGGAAGATACCTTAATTGCATTTGTTTGTTTTCAACTTGGCTCTTGTTCAATTGGCTTTCGCTGTAACTGTTATACCTAGCGCATGTTGTACCCCAACCATGTAGACAGCCATATCTACATCCAGCAATGACCACAGCATAGTAGACCATATAACACTGTGAACACCTACTACATCATAATTATCATCTCCATGGCCTAGATCAAAACAAACTGCCAATTCAATGCGACCGGCATCTGACGGAGACATCCCCTATCATCCCATACCAGATACTGCAGAGTTACACCACATCCATGGAAGCACGCGACCGAAAACCGGACTGATTGGACGCACTGAACATTCTCGATGCCAGTGCATGACGTTTATCCCAGTCAAAGCAATGGTTCGATGAAAGTGAAGTGATGGAAAAGCATGCAAGCCATGAAGTCAACGCCGGTCACTTTGACGTCATTCCCGTGAAGCCCTAAACTGCCATCCCGGACGGTTCAGCTTGTATATATAGCTGTCCGGTTACTGTCTGCTTCAATTCTGTTTAGTATCTATCAAATGCAGAAGTTGTATACTTTATAATATCATCCTGAATTTCACAAAACAATAATCTTCGCACACATCCACCATGAGCCACTTTAACAACACCGACTCCGTCGCTACGAACAAGCAGGGTGAATTCCACCCTTCTGTGAAACCTACGGGTCCTCTTCAGCAGGGCGGTGTATGTATCTCAGTGGAATGCGTCCATTCATGCAGGTTTTATTGTACTGACAAGGAACAGCACCAAGTAGGAAGAAAGGTCGCTCCTAGCGACTTCGTTCCCGAATTCCGTGCTGAGAGCCATCCCCCTGGTACCGCGCCCGCCAGCAGCTCCTACCAGCCTAATCCCATCGGCGAGGTTGGTGGCCAGGCACTCAACCCCAATGTTGAGCGCAGCCATGGCAAGGAATCTGTCAAGACCAACGCTAGCGATACTTTGATGGGCGCTACATCGCAGGATGTGCACCGGGGTATGGGTCAGCCTATTTCGGGACAGACCAGCAACGAGCTTCGTCATGATGGACAGCATGGACGCAAGGGCCAGAGTGCGGGCTTGGAACAAGTTGGAGCTAGTCGGGGAACTACCTTTGAGAGAGACATGCCGAGCCAGCGTGGACTCGAGCGCGATGAGGCGCGCCCTGGTCAGCGCGGTGATAAGGGTGCATTGGCTGCAGAGGATCGCGTGCCGGAGTCGGCAGAGACGGCGGCTGCTGAGTGGAAGTATGAGCCTTCGACTAAGAGGGATAACCCGCATAAGCATTGAGCGTCACCACAGGCTGGACCTTAATTGGACAGTGAACATGCTTAGAAAGGAAGTAATTTAACGGCAATATATTAATGAACAAAATATTCCTGCGTCTATCGGTATGGGTATCGTGCTGTCTCTGTATCATAAGCGAATCAAAATTGCAAGTCGAGAAGAGGTTGGCCTGATCATGGTGTAATAGAAATTGTAGGTGCAGTTGGGATCATGCTATGATGCAAGTCCTAGACGGTCGCCTTTGTACGTAGGCCCTGGCCGTTTGTTCTCTTTTTGGTTGATCTTCTTAGGCCAGCTGCGCGCAATGTCAATGTTCGCACGGGGAAACCACATCTCCAAGAAAACATAGAGTAAGAAGTCGATCACCACGCAAAGGCAGAACAGCTTGCCTGCCCACACCCCGCATCCGTAGTACCGTTTCAAACGGTCAATAAGGGCAAAGCTTCGCACCCGGTCCCGACCGGCCTCCCATCCCTGTCCGGGATAGTAGCCGTAGAATTCCTCGGGGCTAATGTCCCCGGATATGCCTTTGTAGACACGTTCCGTACGTTCGGCTACGTCCGTCCAAGAATACATCATCTTGACCTGGTCGTGGAATCGATCCGTGCGGACTTTGTTCGAACGCAGTGCGGCGATGGCTTTTCCAGTGGCAAGCACGATATCATCTTCCTCCGGTTTCGCAAAAGTTGTCATGTGTTGGGGGAGCACCTCGGGAATGCCACCAACGCGTGTGCACACCACGTATAGACCACAGCTTGCAGCTTCCACAAGGACAGTACCGAACGCTTCAGTCAAACTCGGATGTAGATAGATGTGTCCCCGAATCATCACATCACGCACTTCTTCGTGCCGCACCGAGCCAAGCATTTCAACTTTGTCCTGCAGTACATTCCTTTCTAGCATCTGTTCGAGATCGATAGCCTTGGGCCCTGATCCAGCAATGATGAATCGTACATTCGGGTGGGACGCAAGTATCCGGGGGATGGCGGCAATAAGAAGATCGGTTCCTTTATTGTAGAAAAGACGGGATATGACAACAATCGTGATAATATCGTTGGGCTCCATGGGTCGCGCTATTGGCCGTGGCTCTGGGGGTCGGAAGTTCTCTGCAACCACCGCATTGGGAATGACAGAGACCATCAACGGGTCTAGCGAGGCTCGAAGGACTGTGTTCTCCTTACTATCCCCTGGAGTTATTATAAGTTGAGCATAATCATGCGATTGACGTACCATGTATGACTGACACAAATAACATGGTCCACGTCACTCAAGATGAACTTGAGCAGCTTGTTGGTGAGAATTGACGCGGCATCTGCAAACCCAAACAGCGAATGGTCGGTAAAAACCGTGCGGAGGCCCATTGTCCGTGCATGAAGAATAGCTTCGTGGCAGAAGCTGCTCAAGCTTGCATGGCCATGTACAATCTGAATTTGCTCACGAATCACAATGTTCCGGAAGATAGGAAAGAATGAGAAGACCGTTGGCATGGTCGACTCCCGGTAGATCACGAAGAAGGGGACATGATAGACTTTGAGCCCATTGGTGAGATAGCGAACGCCGGTGCGTCCTTTGTAGGCATGGGTGATGATGATGACTTTATGGCCGCGATCGATAAGCTTCTATGGAGCGATAAGCGTTGGCTGGAGCGAATGAGGTCTGGTAATCTTACGGTCGATAGCTGATAAATGTGACTTTCAATTCCGCCTGAAGTCATCAGTAGCTGGTCATCGAAGGACTATTGGAATGAGAGAGAACAACTAACCTGGTTGGGGGAAGAAAAAGTCACTGACCATACTGTGGACCGGTGATTAGTAGGCCAACCTTGATAGATCGCTCGAAACGCAAGCAGACACTCACGCAATGTTATATGTCATAATGGCAGTCGGTAGTCTCTGAGCTACCCAAATGACACCTTCAACAATGGCCTTGACAGGGCCGTTTCCAGCATATCCATGTTAGGACCAGACCAGCGTCAGGGGATAGCAGATGGCCGTCGATCGAAGCTGCGGCGATGGAGAGACGCGATGAAGCCCGGATTGGTCCAGACCCGGGCGGCGGTGGGGGCGGTGGGGAGGTTCTGCCGGGAAAATATTCCCCGCTGGAAAAGAAATATTGATGTTTAATCTTCGGAGCTGCTCTGGCAACACCGACCCAGTGCTACATTCCCCTTTCCCTTGTCAACCTCGCGCTGATCCTGCGCTACCGCCGCGATCATGGCCGGTGATCGCTCCGCATCTCACGATTCTGCCCGCATAAGCTCAGGAACTCCGTCGAGCGCCAAGAAGTCTCACAAGAGAAAGAGAGATCTCGATGGCTCCGCCACCGCTATATCCACTCCCACCCCGACGAAGAAATCCAAGAAGAATCAGGGTTCTCCAGCCAACGATACCCCAGTCAAGGAAAGCCGGAAGAAGAAAAAGCACTCAGGAACTGCAAGCCGAAGTGCTGTTCAAGAGACGTCGCCCCAGAAAGAGAGTGCTGTCTCGCCGGTCGGCGGCCAAACGACTACTTCAAACCAAGACGACAGCCTCACTAAGAAAAATAAGAAGAAGTCGAAGGATGGGAAACGGAAAAGCGGAACAATTAGCGATGCAGCTGAGGAAGATGTCAATATGAAGGATGCGGACGACATTGAAGAGACCAAAGAGGAAGAAGCTAAAGGGACGAAGAAAAGCCGAAAGACTTCTGAGCCTGCAACGACAGAGGATGACGACGACAAACCTACGAAGAACAAATTTGCCGGCATTTTGTCCAAATTTGAGAGGTCGAAGAAAGCGCGGGAGCTGGAAAAGACAAGAGAAAGCATGAAGGATGAAGATTCCACTGAGCTAACGACAGCAGAGCCGGTCGTAGCACAAGGTCTGGAGCCGTTACCACAACCAGAAGCAGCGCCTGAGCAGGATGAAATGCCAACCTACTCTTCGCTGCCGCCATGGCTGGCCAATCCCGTCCGTGCATCGGCTCAGGAACGACGCAAATTCGCCGATTTGGGGATTGACTCTAGCCTTCTCCGAGTTCTGGAAGACAATGGCTATCATGAAGCATTTGCCGTGCAGTCAACCGTCATCCCTCTCCTCCTGCAAGGACCAACGAACCACCCGGGAGACATTTGCATCTCCGCCGCCACTGGTTCAGGAAAAACTTTGTCCTACGTCCTACCATTGGTCACGGCGTTGAAGCCGCTTCCTGCGCCTAGGTTACGAGGACTCATCGTGGTGCCTACTCGGGAGCTTGTGAAGCAGGCCAGAGAAGCCTGTGAGCTCTGTGCCGCTGGATCCGGCCTCCGCGTCGCCTCTGCAGTTGGAAACGTTGCGATCAAAGACGAGCAGCGGTCGTTGATGCGCGTCGATCAGGTCTATGGCCCTGCGACGTTCAAGCTTCGCCAAAACGTGCAACTGACAGGCGATGATTGGACGAACTTCAATTTGCAGGACTACATCTCAGAAGCGGGTGATCTAAGCGAGTCTCTGCCAGGCTACGTTCACCGGTCAGAACCTAATGTCGACATTCTAATCTGTACACCCGGTCGTCTGGTCGACCATCTTCGCTATACCAAGGGGTTCACATTGAAGAATCTCGAATGGCTTGTCATTGACGAGGCAGATCGACTACTAAATGAAAGTTTTCAGGAATGGGTGGACGTCGTGATGACCTCCCTGGACGCCCGGAAAGCCCCTGGTGCATTCGGTTTTAGCGGCAACTTTCTGTCCGGGCTTGGCTTGCCGATCCAGAGCAAGGAGCCACGGAAAGTCGTTTTGAGTGCCACCATGACTAGAGATGTGACGAAGCTTAACTCTCTACGTCTTGCCAACCCCAAGTTAGTCGTCATCGGCGCGGATGCCACCGCAACGGATGATGAGAGCGGTGGCGTTGCACCGTCAGACGAACAGTTTACGCTCCCGCCTACCTTGAAGGAGCATACCGTATCGGTTGGAGATGGGTCGCAGAAGCCGCTGTATCTCCTGCGCCTCCTGCTGTCCCACATCAAGATTGAGACTAAGAGTGTCAAGCCTTCTGTGCACGATACTTCTGACTCTGATGATTCGGATTCCGACGAGTCAAGCTCTGGATCAGATTCCGATGACGCGTCGGACGTGTCTAGCTCTGATGATTCAGATTCCGACTCAGACTCGGATTCGGACTCTGATACCAGTTCTGAATCGTCTTCAGACTCTGAGGATACCTCGGAGGACGAGTCGAGCGACGAGTCAGAGTCGTCCGACAGCGACTCTGAACTAGAAGACGAGAAGTCGGACCGACAAGGGCCCTCGCAGACCACAGTTTTGGTCTTCACGAAATCGTCTGAATCCGCATCACGACTGGCTCGCCTGTTGGCACTCCTCGAACCCTCCCTCTCCGACCGCATTGGCACGATTATTAAATCGAACAAGTCGTCTGCTTCACGCAAGACTCTCACAGCTTACCGCCGGGGCAAGATCTCTGTGATTATTGCAACGGATCGGGCCTCGCGTGGTCTGGACCTACGGTCACTGACCCATGTTGTCAACTACGATGTGCCAGCTAGCATCACTACCTACGTGCACCGGGTCGGTCGTACAGCTCGTGCTGGCCAGGAAGGATCGGCGTGGACGCTTGTGGCACACCGAGAGGGCAAGTGGTTCGCAAGCCAGATCGCCAAGGGGTCGGATGGGAAGATCACTCGGTCGACTAAGGTAGGAAAGGTGCAAGTTAAATTGGATAATATGAAGGAGGTCAAGGCACGCTATGCATCTGCCTTGGACTTGCTCGAGAATGAAGTGAAAACGGGTGGGACCAAAGCTTCCAAGCCTAGTGCACAATGACCTTGATGTTAGGTAGTTCTCGGACAAGTGTATATAGTTAGCCCGAATACATGCAGACCAGTCTGGTGACCCTTTCTGTTTCGAAAGATTGACCCAGGCTGAATACATAACTATCAACCCCCCACCCCCGCAGATCACACTCAACAGCTCTCCCAACGGTTCTGTGCTTTATCAGGTTATTAGTAACCATATCACTGTTCGTGTTGAGGTGCCCGGCTCAGCCGAGAGTGTCAGGTGCAGTCCATCTCATTGTTGGACTCGCCGTTCTTCCTCCTCTTCTCAGTTCCTCGTTCCTATCGTCGTCAAGTACTACCGTCCAGTTGCCGTTGACTTATCTCTGCTTTGGCAGTATGTCAAGAGGTATGCTAGTACAATATATATAACTACTCGTGCCGTACTCCAAAATACTAAGTCACATATTTATGGCATGAGCTGATCCTTTTACTACATTACAGGCAGCAGAGCATCCTACCAGCGACCGTGCCGATTCCCCAATATGATGGTCTAATTCCTCCTCATGTCACTAATTTATATATGTCCACCCGCGCCGCTCAAATCGCTGCACCAAACAACCGGTGCTGTGGCAGATACATTCACCCAGGTCGCCACGTCTTCCATGGTCGTCCTGGTCCGAGCTGGTCCCTTGAGGCCGTACCAATCCGTATCCCATAAAAATTACGCACATCGGAAGTGTTACTAAATTCCTGAGAGGTGGTGGTTGCCCATCTGACCTGCCTTTCGGAAGCACGGTGTGATCGACGGTCCTACGCAAGTTACAAATGAGAATGGGGTATTGACAAAGAGCTGTACAGGATTCGTCGTGACAGGTCGAATATGGGCCTGAAGGACTGGCAGGAAGAGCACTCTCACTGACAACCGTCGATACGTATTCCCGAATTGATGGCTGCCTGTTTCAAGCTGGATAATTCTGTGCGCACTTCGGCCTGGTCATCTGGATGGCGAGCGACGACGTGGAACAGAATGGACAGAAGCCCAGCAGTGGTGTCACAGCCAGCAAGGAGCGCACTCAGCAATAACCCCGGTCGCGTCGCCAGTGAGTTCGACCACCTCGGAGAAAAGCAGCTCAGAGCCTGAGCCTTCACACAGGGGATGTTACGCGCTCGCACGGATTCATTCGCACTACTGTTCACACTTTACATAGACCCTGGTTCCAGCAGCAGCTCAGTTGAAACTGCGTTTGGAAATGGGCTGCACGGAAATGGACAAACCCCATTGTGCGCAAGCCATAACGCCATATTTGGCTTTGTGACACGGGAGAACTCTAGCAGCTCGTGATCGTCCACTTTGAACGCTTTAACTGGAAAAGGAAGTCGATAGCAGAGTCAATAATCTGCACTAATAGCAATGCTATTATCTACAAGAAATTGTTTCAGGCGCAGAAAAGAAAAAAGAGTAAGAAAGAAAAGGAGGGGGGTAGAGATGAAGGGGGAAACTATTCCATATTAACTGTTGCGGTTGCAGATCGGATAGACAGTACACCCAACTGTCCTGCTATATCCTGACTTACGGACATGTCTCTCAAAGGTTCCAAAGTCAGCGATGTAGCAGAGGGCGGAGGTGGGTTTGAGCAGCACTCGCGACTTTTTCCACTGCTTCCCATCGGTGGCGATGCCTACGCAGCACTTCACCACAGAATCCTAGATTTGGAAGAGTATCCAATATTACGAAAGCGAACTTGCATATAGTTCAGCAGACGGCGCTCGAGCGTGGTGGCGACCGTCTTGCGGAGTGCGTCGGGGCTTAGTCCAGGGTCTAGATGGCTCTCCTGCGGTGGTGAAAGGCACCTGTGATGGTCTGATACCTGTCAGATGTGTTGCCCTGCAAGGGGAACCGGGCCTACAGTGTAACGGCAAGGCAAATTTCCATACACTACAGCAAAAGAAAGGGGAAAGCATGCTGTCTGTACTCGAATGCATGTGACGAAGCAAACCGAGAACTTCAAAAAAATTCAAAAGCAAAGAAATGGGGCCACAAATAGAGGAAGCACCATGACTATGTGATTCAAGGACCATCACTAATTTTCCAGATTTCCCGCTATCGACTTAATAGTTTCTACTAAACCCCCACTGCCTCGGAGGCCTTCTGGCGGAGTATTTCTCGGCGTGGATATAATCCGCGCCTTCAAGCTTATCGAATCTCATGGCTTACAGCAGTGATCGACCAGCTGCAGAAGGATCACGACGAGAGGCGTCGCTTGTAAGTAGGGCGAGAACGCCAGGAAAATTAGGAAATTGCCGCGCTCATCGGCAGTACCGGCTTATACTATTGAGCTTGGGCCTCCTATTACGCTTTTAGGAACTGTTTTCCGGCTGTTTGTGGTAATTCTGGTCGTGAAGGGGAATCCCTGGCTTGCAGACTACTGTGGGTGGCATACAATAACGCAAGAACAGCCTGATTCCCCACTTGGTTAACGTTGCCGAAGAAAGTATCAACACGTTGACATCCTAGAAAACGACCAATAGGCGGCATCTGGTACCCAGTAGTGCAAATGATAAGTTGTTTCTCTTCGGAACTCCCAAAGCAAGAGACTGTACTTGAAGAAGCAATTTTCAGGGGTCTCATTGCCATGACAGTTTTATCATACAGGATCAAAAATCACCACACATCATATTACTGAGTTATGCTAATTAAAATGATTGTACGAGTCTATTTCCGACCAGTTCCAAACTATATGCACCATAATTCCAATGATTCCAGCAGCGAAGACCCGCCAAGCTCGTCAAGCTCCTGTTCAATATCCACCAGTTCCCATACCATCTAGTAGTTTCAATAGCGATCATCGGCCCAGCAGGTCGACCAATCGATGCACCGGAAGTTTGTCCTGGTGGATCGCGTCGATCACCCGGCTTGTCTCCTCCGCCGTGAACAGGCCCTCCATGTTTCGCTCAAACTTGGCACGCACCTTGGGCAAAGTATCTTCGTGCATCGGATGCCCGATCGGGTATTCGACGACTATTTCGTCTAACTGCTCCCCGTTGGTCAGAAAGACGGTGAGTCCGCTGGCCGCCGCCTTCTTGTGGTGGTAGCCGTAGGTGAACTGCGGGTCTTCGGCCATATGGATCCGCTGGCGCAGGGCCTCAACACGCGGGTCATGGGCCCACACGCTCGAATCGTGGTAATCCTCTGCTTCAATAATCGCGTTCTTCAACAGCACCACCGACACCATGTACCGCATGCAGTGATCGCGGTCGGCCGCATTGGTGAGCGGGCCTTGCTTGTCGATGATGCGGACAGCCGCTTCATGCGTGCGGATATCAATGCGACTGATTTCAGTAGCGGGATCGATCCCCCTGCTGGCCATGGTCTCGGCCAGCGCCATGGCTGCCTGTACTGCGGAAATGCCGTGGCCCTCTGCAGTGATAAGTTTGAAGAACACTTCCTCCATCACCCGTGTCTTGAAAGGCCGTGGCAGCTGCAGCTCCTTACCCCCAAAGCTGACAGCCAGGAACCCCCATTCTGGCTCAGTTAGCGCGCTGGGGATGCCTGGCTGGCCGGCGCGAGCTAGTAGGCACAAGTGTACAGCACGCATGGCGGCATCCCCAGCGGCCCAGCCCTTGCGTGGCCCCGCATTGGGACTTTGACGGAAGATGCGCAGAGGGTGACCATCAGCCCACGCATGGGAGAGAGCGACGGCGGCTTGTTTCTCCGTCAGACCCATCAGCCAAGCTACAACAGCTGTGGAGGCGATCTTCACAAGTAGCGTATGATCCAGCCCCACCTTGTTGAAGGCATTGCGAATCTGGTAGCAGCCTTGAATCTCGTAGGCTTTGATCATCGCGATCAGAACCGTCCGGACGGTCAGTGGCTGGCTGGTGGCGCCTGTACGGCTGAGCCAATCTGTGACCGCCAGAATGGCGCCCAGGTTATCTGTTCGTCGATCAGTTAGCCCTATATCCAACCAAGCTTCTGGGAGTGCAGATCTTGCCGACGGGCCTTACCAGATGGGTGGCCCCATTCGGCACCAGGGTATGCATCATTGTGATCCAGAAAGCGAATCAAGGTTGCCATGTCAAAGGCACCCTTGACTGGATCGAGCTGGTGGCAGGTGCCCGGCAGCTTGAACCCATAAGGAGCGACCAGACCTGGTGTGTATGGGCCGATCAGAGCGCGACACTCGGGGCTTTGTTGAAGAGTCTCCAGAGCGCAACCAAGAGCATCCATGAGAGCATAGCGGGCCCGCAGAATAGCGAGGTCGCTTGTTACTTCGTAGTGGTAGACATACTCGACTAGGCGAGTTATCATTTCGTCATACTGTCGATCGGAAGTGGAAGACATGGTTTTCGGAGTGTGCACGGAATGACTTTGGAGTAGATAGGATTTGGAAGAAATGTTTGGATTGGCTCAGAAAGCGACGAGAGTGATGGCGAACGAAACAGACCGCAAAGGGAACCGCCCTTTTATGCTCCGTCGGGCAGACCGTGTCAGCCAGATGCCTTTAGATCGCCGGTGATAGTCTCTGCGGGCTGTCACTAGTCGATGGATCAAAGCTTGACAGACTATCTCGGCGTATTAATTCGTCCTTTTGAACTATTCCGTCCGAGACTGGATGGTCTTGGACAGACGGCTGCTGCCACGCCAGACGAGGTACAAATATGTGCTTCAGAGCCAGACAAATCCCAACAGAATCAGGACAGCAGCAGCGACAATCCTTCGCAGACTCATCGCATCCCCTTCTACATCATGGCATACACACTGGTATCTTGGCTGGGTCGCCTCTTCGATGCAGGCAAGAGCCTGCTGCCCTTACAGGGCAACTACATCAACGCCCTACTGGAGCAGGAGCTGCCTGGTGAGCGTGAAGGCACATTGACAGTGCGGGATAACCGGACGGGATCGAAGTATACGATTCCCATCGTGCGCAACTCAGTACCCGCCATGGGATTCCGTCAGATCTGCGTCGACCGTGCAGGAAAGAGCCCGCGACAGCAATTCGAGGATGGGCTCCGGTTGATCGATCCTGGTTACCGCAACACAGCCGTCAAGATGTCCAGCATCACCTACATGTAGGCTTGCTTTTTGTCCCCTGGTCATCTTTGTCTTACTGACTGAGGTAGCAATGGCAACGAGGGCGTCATTCTGTACCGGGGCCACCCCCTGGCATCGCTCATCGGAAAGAGCTACGAGGAGATTACCCACCTTCTCATCTGGGGCTCGCTACCTACACCCGAGGAGCGTCTGCGCTTCCAGCGGCGAATTGCCGAGGCGATGATGGTGGTGCCCGAGAACGTAAAGAAGCTCGTGGCTACTTTCCCGTAAGTCCGCCCCTTATCTTCGCTATGCATGCTGCTAACCTTGAAGCAGACGCAACACTCCTCCCATGGTCATTCTCTGCGCGGTCTTGACGGGTTATCTGGCAGATCAACCCGAGCTCATCCCCGCCCATGCGGGTGCCAACCTGTACAACCGACGCCCAGAAATGGTCGATGAGCAGATCATCCGCACACTGGCAGTCACGGCGATAGCCGGGTCGATAGCTCACTGCCACATGAAGGGAGAGGAGCTCCGCGCAGCCGACCCGAACCTGAGCTACATCGAGAACATCCTTTGGATGGGCCGGTATGTGGATAACAACGCGGCAATCACACGGGAGAAGGCAGCGGAGATCTTGACGAAGGCGTGGTCGCTGTATGCGGATCATGAGATGACCAACTCGACATCGGCTTTTCTTCACGTCTCGTCTTCCCTGGCCGACCCACTTTCGGCGATGGCTGCATGCTGCATGTCTGGCTACGGACTATTGCACGGAGGTGCCATCGACGCGGCATACCGAGGAATGCGGGAGATTGGTGGACCGGAGAATGTGCCCAAGTTGATCGAGAAGGTGATTAACAAGGAGTGCCGGTTATCCGGATACGGCCATCGGATCTACAAGCAGGTGGACCCTAGGGCGAAGTACGTGCGCGAGATGCTGGACGAATTGACGCGGGATCGTGACATTCGCGAGATGGACCCTGTGCTCCAGGTGGCCATGGAGATCGACCGGATTGCGAGCACACACGAGTATTTTGTCAAGCGCAACCTGCAGGCAAATGCGGACTTGTACGGAAGTTTCGTGTACACGGCACTGTAAGGTTCCCCCACATTTTCCAAGAGGATATCTACTAATCCATGCAGGGGTATTGACTCGCAATTTGCGACGGTGCTGGCAGCAACTGCACGGGTATCTGGTGTGATGGCACACTGGAAGGAACAGACTGGTAAGTTTTTGTCACTCCCCTTCTTGCAAACAAGAGATACTAACAAATGTAGAACGCGCACCGGACTTGTGGCGGCCCCTGCAGGTGTACGTGCCGAACTAGGAAAAGGGGTTTAGGATGGAATTGTACAGAATGGGTCATCATAGGAGTCTATTGTTTTCGGGTCTGGGTCTTGGTTACTCCATAGTTTGCGCTATATTCTTCAGTTAATCTATTTCAACAATAATTCTTGATTGTCATCCTCATTATCCATGATACCGTATGACGAAGCCTATTGTTTTAGAAATTAGGTGCCAGCGATTATTATTATTATTACAATGATTATTGATTTGTGGTTCTTAGAAGTACAATAAGGCTATGAATAGATTCATCTTTAGCTAGACGATTGTTGATGGATAGTAACCAGTGTTACTAGTACAAGAACCAAGAATACATAAAATTGCATCTACTAGTAGGATGTAATCGATAAGGTGTACTAGCCTATATATTCTAATGCCTCAATAACAGTCTCCTTGGAAAGCAATTGTTCTCTTTAAAAAAGGCCTTCTTAGTTGCTGTAGTATATACTCTCAGGTAAGTATAACAGTAGTAGCATCATGGGTGTAACATGGGGCGGCTGAAGAGAATAGTTACTAATATGTACCACTACCTCACCAACACCTCTTCCTAAAGCATATCTAGTATTCATCCAATAAAAATCAACTAATGGAGCTCCTCTCCACTTTATCAATGTATCAAATTATCAATGGACTGTACTAAGCCTTAAGAACTCAATGCTATTCTCCCTGTCCCCTACGATTATTCAAAAACAGAGGGCACTTCTCGACAACTATAAATCGCTAGTCTTTGAATCATTATGGCATTTTTGTTCAACTAATCAGTCAGTGCAGTAGATCCCGCTACATAACAGTTGTAAAAACATCAGAGCAAGTAGACCAGGAGTATGTGTCTGTCTAGTATTGACCGGACAGAAAACAACCGCCAGAACCCATCATATTTCTTTTGTCTCCGACTCCACATAACCTAAAGGAATATATGTGCCTGCACCCTTAATTAAACCCCTTAGACTCCTAAATAGCGGTCAATGTAGGTAGTGTTATCTCGTACAATGATTAGCTTCGCTAGTTACAATCGGGCGGCAGTGATCGGCATGCCAGAAACCAAAAAATTGAAGATCGACAATGACATGTTCTTCCTACAAATTAAATATCGATCTTTGCATATTAGTTGGACTATTGATGAGTTTTAATTTTGATATATCTCCTATTCTGGTCTAATGCAATAATAGTCTATATAGTGGGTCATTGATCAGTCGATCCGGGCATTTCTACGCCGTGTCTAAACTCCGTACCGAAATACTCCTAGTGAATTATAGTCTAAAAGATAGTTAGTAGAATGTATCCAGAAATGAATCGAATAGAATTGAAGACGATTGGGTTCGCCAAGCAGCACCCTGTATTCTTACTTACTTTCTTTCTATTTGTTGTTGGGTAATCATTCATACCCCTATAGGGCTATAACTAACAAACTTCACACTTTTTCCTCGCCAAGCTATTCTTCTCACTTGCTATCATACTCCTCTCTTCTATCTCCATCAATCATTTCCAATTATATACCTGTCCTTCGGTCACATAATACTTAATAAAGTTGTACCACAATGACCTCTCACACACCTCCCCCCGCCACTTCCACCGGCACTCCCGTAACTCACACCCTCTCCAACTGGCTGGAAGGACTCACTCCCGAGTCCATTCCCGCCGAAGTCCGTGAACGGGCCAAATACCTCATTCTCGATGGATTGGCCTGTGCTCTGCTGGGGGCACGACTCCCCTGGTCCGTCAAGGCCCATGATGCCATCACTGCCATTGAGGGAGAGGGCAAATGTACCGTGATCGGATGGAATGAGGTATTTTTTTCTCCTCTAATCAGACTCCTGCACGACTATAGATGTGATAGATAGGATGCTAATGAAGTGATAGACCCTCCCTCCCAATGCCGCCGCCCTCCTGAACAGCACCTTCATTCAAGGCTTCGACCTCGACGACATCCACATCGAGGCCCCCTTGCACAATATGTCCGTCATCGTCCCAGCGATTCTCGCAGCCGCAGAACAGGAACACGGCAGCTCGGCTCGCCCTATTAGCGGCAAAGACTTCCTAACCGCCACAGTTGCCGGCTGCGAAACGGGACCCCGTGTAGGCTACGCCCTGGGCGGAACACACATGCTCACAATCGGATGGCACTCCGGTGCCATCTTCGGCCCTGCTGCATCTGCCGCAGCTGTCTCCAAGCTGTTAAATCTCCCCGCCGCGCAGATCGAAGATGCCCTGGGCATGGCGTGCACACAGGCCTGCGGACTCATGTCAGCACAGTTCGAGAGTATGGTGAAGCGCATGCAGCATGGGTTCGCATCACGGAGCGGAGTACTTGCCACATACCTGGCAAAGCAGGGATTCACGGGAATCAAGGAGATCTTTGACCGCGAGTATGGTGGGTTCTTGAAGATGTTCTCGCTCGGGGCGGAGACTGAGCCCAAGTTTCACCCAGAAGAAATTAGTAAGGGATTAGGCGAAGTATGGCAGATCAAGAAAATCAAGCAGAAGTTGCATGCGTTGTGCGCAGTGACGCATTGTACAGTGGATTGTGTTAAGGATCTTCAGGCCGAGCATCCTGCGAAGATGGGCGAGTGGAAGAAGATCGTCAAGATCGAAGCGGAGATGGCGAGGGCTGCGATGAAGAAGGGTGGCTGGGCACCGGAGAAGCCGGCTACCGTCACAGCGGCGCAGATGAGTATACCGTACGCGGTGGCGTTGCAGGTCGTGGATGGGGAGATTGTGCCGGGGCAGTTTGCGCCAAGCATGTTGAACCGGGAGGAGTTGTGGGATGTGATTGGATTAGTGGAGTGTCGGGAGGCTAAGGAGCTGGATAATACGTGGGCGCAGAGGGTCAAGATCACGTTTGAGGATGGGGAGGTGCTGGAGAAGTTGTTGAAGGCGCCCAAGGGAGTCTACCCCGGGGTGACCAATGAGGAGGTGTTGGAGAAGTGGCGGGCTGTGACGAAGGGGGTGATTCCGGAGGAGAGGCAGAAGAAGATCGAGGAGGTGGTGTTGAACTTGGAAGAGGTGGAGGATGTCGCGGGTGTTTTGGGCGAGTTGTTGAGGGGAGAGACGGTGAATGTGCTGCAATAGAAGATTACCCCTTTTGGACGGGGATGGCTTCATATTTCCCAAGCGATGTCACGCCATACCAAAGACTCATTTACCCGGTGCCTGAGCAGATCTCTACTTGTTACAACAATGCCAATGTTCGTACACTCTTAATTGCTAAATGCAAGCATTCCCAGTTCTTCCCCATGCCGGCTAAATCATTCAGGCTAAACCCCGCGATGAAGTCAATCGGCCATTCTCCGGCGTATCTCCGCATCTCCGCAAAACTCTATAAATCTACCCCAGATTCAGTCCCCGACCATCTTTTTCTCCCCCCACAGACTGGCTCAACCATGGCGCACTCAATGTCTCGTCCCGTGGCTGCCACTGCCGCTGCTCTGTTGGCTCTGGCTCTTCCCCAAGCTCTTGCCCAGGCCAACACCAGCTATGTTGATTACAACGTCGAAGCCAACCCCGACTTGTACCCTTTGTGCGTGGAAACCATCCCACTGAGCTTCCCCGACTGCCAGAATGGCCCCCTGCGCAGCCACCTCATCTGCGACGAATCAGCCACCCCCTATGATCGAGCAGCATCGCTCATCTCGCTCTTCACGCTGGACGAGCTGATCGCGAACACCGGCAACACCGGCCTCGGGGTCTCCCGACTGGGCCTCCCTGCATACCAAGTATGGAGTGAAGCACTTCACGGCCTCGACCGTGCCAACTTCAGCGACTCAGGCTCCTACAACTGGGCCACCTCATTCCCCCAGCCTATCCTGACCACCGCGGCCCTCAACCGCACCCTCATCCACCAAATCGCCTCCATCATCTCCACCCAAGGCCGCGCCTTCAACAACGCCGGCCGCTACGGCCTCGACGTCTACGCCCCCAACATCAACACCTTCCGCCACCCCGTCTGGGGTCGCGGACAAGAAACTCCAGGAGAGGACGTCTCTCTCGCCGCCGTCTACGCCTACGAATACATTACCGGCATCCAGGGTCCCGACCCAGACTCGAACCTCAAACTCGCCGCCACGGCCAAGCACTACGCCGGCTATGACATCGAGAACTGGCACAACCACTCCCGCCTGGGCAACGACATGAACATCACCCAGCAAGACCTCTCCGAATACTACACTCCCCAGTTCCACGTCGCCGCCCGCGACGCCAAAGTCCACAGTGTCATGTGTGCCTACAACGCCGTCAACGGCGTCCCTGCCTGCGCCGACTCTTACTTCCTCCAGACCCTCCTCCGCGACACCTTCGGATTCGTCGACCACGGCTACGTCTCCAGTGACTGCGACGCCGCCTACAACATCTACAATCCCCACGGCTACGCCTCCTCCCAGGCTGCCGCTGCCGCTGAGGCCATCCTCGCTGGCACCGACATCGACTGCGGTACCACCTACCAATGGCACCTGAACGAGTCCATCACTGCAGGAGATCTCTCTCGCGATGATATCGAGAAGGGTGTGATCCGTCTCTACACGACCCTCGTGCAGGCCGGATACTTTGACTCCAATACCACTAAGGCGAACAACCCCTACCGTGACCTCACCTGGTCTGACGTCCTCGAGACCGACGCATGGAACATCTCCTACCAAGCCGCGACGCAGGGCATTGTCCTTCTCAAGAACTCCAACAACGTCCTTCCCCTCACCGAGAAAGCTTACCCACCATCCAACACCACCGTCGCCCTCATCGGTCCCTGGGCCAACGCCACCACCCAACTCCTGGGCAACTACTACGGCAATGCTCCCTACATGATCAGCCCCCGCGCCGCATTCGAAGAAGCCGGATACAACGTCAACTTCGCCGAAGGCACCGGTATCTCCTCCACAAGCACCTCGGGCTTCGCAGCCGCCTTATCCGCCGCCCAGTCCGCCGACGTGATCATCTACGCCGGTGGCATCGACAATACCCTTGAAGCGGAGGCATTGGATCGCGAGAGCATCGCATGGCCGGGTAACCAACTGGACTTGATCCAGAAACTCGCCTCGTCGGCCGGAAGCAAGCCGCTCATCGTCCTCCAAATGGGCGGCGGACAGGTCGATTCCTCGTCCCTCAAGAACAACACCAACGTCTCCGCACTCCTCTGGGGCGGATACCCCGGCCAATCCGGCGGTTTCGCTCTGAGAGACATCATCACCGGAAAGAAGAACCCCGCGGGCAGACTAGTCACCACACAATACCCCGCCAGCTACGCTGAGGAGTTCCCCGCGACGGATATGAATCTCCGTCCTGAGGGAGATAACCCCGGCCAGACATACAAATGGTACACCGGCGAAGCAGTGTACGAGTTCGGCCACGGATTATTCTACACGACCTTCGCGGAGTCATCCAGCAACACCACCACGAAGGAAATCAAACTCAACATCCAGGACATTCTTTCCCAGACACACGATGACCTGGCGTCAATTACCCAGCTCCCTGTGCTGAACTTCACCGCCAATATCAAGAACACTGGCAAGGTGGAGTCGGATTACACCGCCATGGTCTTCGCCAATACGTCTGATGCAGGCCCGGCGCCGTACCCGGTGAAGTGGCTGGTCGGATGGGATCGGCTTGGGGATGTGAAGGTTGGGGAGACGAGGGAGTTGAAGATTCCCGTTGAGGTGGGGAGCTTTGCGAGGGTGAATGAAGATGGCGATTGGGTGTTGTTTCCGGGGACGTTCGAGTTGGGATTGAATCTGGAGAGGAAGGTTAGAGTCAAGGTTGTGTTGAGTGGTGAGGAAGAGGTGGTGTTGAAGTGGCCGGGGAGGGAGGAGTAGATCGCTCCAAGCGATTAAATCATCATCATGACGATGTATATAGCCCCTAACTATTTATTATCAATTGACATTAAATGTTAACTCATAAAGAGCTAGCTCTCCATCGTGGGCGAATAAAAGAAAGGTTCCATAAACTTTATTACTGACTAGCTAGTAGCTATAGGCTATTCACAATTAGCCGGTTCTGCGATATGGCTTACTACCCGCCCTGCACGCCTGTCCTGGACAGGATCATCATCACCAACTACTCTTAGCATAAAACGTAAACAAAGGCCTGGGACCAGGATCCGTCCGACTCAAAAGAAGTAAATCTCTCGTTCGCATACTGGCCACATGAACCTGTTGCTCCGAGACTTCTTCAACCGGGTCTTCGAATGCCCAGAAGACGCTTTCTTCCTGATATCCGTCGGATACGCGCTGGCCGCTCAGACATACGAATGATGTTCCCTGTCTTCCGAAGGAAACAACCGTGTTTCCGAATCCAGTGTCGAAGTCGTAGGTCTGGAATTTGAAGAGCGTGCGGGCGTTTCCTTGGAGGGTGGGGAGTGCAACTGTAGAAGGTATATAGCGTTAGCTTAATTTTTTATCGAATGGCCATACTCATACACCAGCTTTGGGAGGGAGAGGGGACTCACTGTCGCTGAAACTGCCGTTGTCGAGGGTTCGTTCTTGGGCGATCATGGTTATTGTCCTGATGGCCAGCTGTTTCGGAGTTGGGGGTTAGTAGAGGATATCGGGGATATGGTTGGTTGTGTACTTACTAGCACTAATTTCTTGTAGTCCTCTGGGATGGGATATGAGATTGGGGAATTTATTTCCTCGGGGTTTTCGTTGATGGCTTGGACCTTGTTTCCTGTCAGTCATGTAATGATAGCTAAAGGACTTTTGGGGATGCGCAAGCTCACTTTGCTGCGGGTCACGGAGAGTATGTTGGCCCCTTCTTCGTACAGCTCGGCTTGTTGCTCTCTGCCGTTGATGAACTTTGAAACAGGGACTATCATACATAAAGGGTTAGTAGATGGCACCAAGCGATGATTCGTGTGAAAGCTATACTCTTCCTGATGAGCTCAAGGTACGCGTCGTACTGCGTAAAGTCTTCGAATAGGTACCAGCTCTGGTTTCAATTAGTTGCATTTCATGAATACTCATTGCGGAGCAGGTCTCACCCTCTGATTGGCAAAAGTATAGTCAAAAGGCGTGAATGCATTGTTGAAATTCGGCACGTTGGTGTATCTCCACAGAAGTGCACTGTGTCGGTGTAAGTATCCTATAATCGAAGGAAATTAAGAGGGAAAACTCACAATCGTCTATATCTATGCTTTCCCTCCCTCAATTCCTGATAGAAGTTGTCTGCGCCTTCCTTGATCGCAAAAAGAGGCGAGTCTTCACCGTCGTGTGGCTCTGCGTGGATGACTCCAGACCGGCCTCCGCCTCCAGAGGTATGGATCCAGACAGTAACGCGAGAGTGTCTGTTGATTGTCTCCACGGCACTTCTCACTTCATTTGTGACAGAGCCGGTGACTCCGTACATTGAGAAAGCAACCTCCGATCTTTCAGAAGTGTCAGGAGGTAATAAGTCTAAGGACTCAGTGATAAGCTTACGCCTGTCTAATCTCTTGACTGGTGGATTTGTTGACTGCAGAAATGGAGACGCGAGCAAGTATTGGCCACCTCGAATGAAATCTGCCACGGGCATTTAGCATCTACCCACTGGCTAGGACATAGTGCTTCGTTTATCTTACCTGCAATGAAACGATCTCCGTACAGTTTATTCGGGGTATCAGTGTTAATCTGATTGAAGGAATATGAATTCCCGATTGATGCCTGCTGCCTGGATGACACCTGGACTTGATAGGTCACCGTACTGCTTTCAAAACTGTGTCGATGAAGATTAGCTGATTTGATGCCCAAGTCAAGCCAGAACAAATACACTCGCCTTAGCCGATCAAGATAGCCAGCGTCGATTTGGGAGGACTGTCCCCAGCCGGAAATAGCAGCGCCAGCACTTATCTCTAAGGACTGTGCAAGTTTTCTGAAGAAAGAAGGAATAGAAGTCAGCAATACACTTTAAACTGAGAAGTCGGGTGTGCGGACGTGTAATCATCGATTCTTTCACTACTATAGAAGAGGTCGTAAGTGACGGACTCCGGTTGACCAGGAGTGATAGTGACAGCATCTGCTACACCAATTTGTTGAAGGTAGGTATTGTATCTAGATAAGGGACAAATTGTTCAGTATGTTAGCAAGGACACAATTGTATCTATGGAGAGGAACGGAATCGATCGTACCCCTGCCCTTGCTGCATGCCATCGAAATATGGAACAAGCTCGGCCATCTTGAAATATCTAGCTGCTTTGATCAGGTAATGAGGTATGAAAGGTTTGAAGATGATTCTCAAAATTGACTGGTAGTTGCATCACATTCCGACCAAATGCTGGTCCTTTATATGCTTAAAGCACCAGCGTACGGGCAATCCCCTGACCTATACAGACATCACGTCACTCACAACAAACCCCGATGCAATGTCCTCGAAAATGTAACTTCGTGGTGGCGATCTGCATCATTCAGTTCTTTAGATGAGGCATTTTCTTTGGAGAAGTAGATTCCATCGAGTGACAACAACGACCGGACATTCGGCGGAGCAAGAGCCATAGAGATCACAATAGTAGTGTCAAGGATACAAACACCAGATGGCGCAAGTACTCAAGCTGATGTCTAGACTCGCAATTGATGTCTGATTTGTTATCGGTGACTCCGAAAAGCCACTGGACGGGCACTGGATTCCGCTGCACGAAGCGGGGATTAATATCGAAGAATCTGTAAATCAACCCAAGTGATCAAGGAAGTGTTCGGGGAAGAATGAACCTGCCTGTGCTCAATTACCTCAATATAGTGTGTTGACATGGACTGCTCGGGAACTGCTCTATAGTACCCCTGCAGTGGCAAATGCATGTCATCAGAGGTGCATGAGCTGAACATCGCGCAAACCTCTCCCCCTCATCTTAACGCCCAGCTTGCCCTTCAGCTAGAGGTTTTACTCCACTTTACACTGTCGGAGGGTTACATCGTTGAAATTCTTGCAATTGTCTGGCTGGCTTTCGACGATGTTCCTCGAGGGCAAGGCACAGGGAAACCCCGCGATTGGGAATGAGAAGGCATGAGCTGCACAATCCCTGCTACTTCTGCTGCTGCGAATACGTAATGAGATGGATTAGCAGAATCCAGTATCCAGACTTGATTGTGCAGTCAGGCACACACTTACAGATACCAACTAGGCTAAACGATGACGATGGTGTCCAGACCTCAGCAGCCAGTATCAGAGATGATATAAAGACCCCCTTCCGGTCGCTCAGAAGATAAGTCTACGAGACAATCATCTCTACCAAACACTTTTACCACAGCCTCTACCCCCGATCTAATCATGGCCGAACGAGCAGAAGCCCAATGGGTGCACATCCGCGTCGTCAACTCCCTATCCTTCGACACCCTCAGTGTCAGAAACACCTGGCTGGGCTGGTGAGTTCAAAAATCATCAAGTTACCCATCTTGGCACCATCTCTCTCTCCTTCTTCCCTAACACGTTATCAGGGGCAAATTCCACAAAGAAAACAACAAGAGCGCCGAAATCCCCGTTTCCGACATCAACGCACTCCGGGCAGCTCCTGGCGGGTCCTTCAACGTCTTCGCGTGCGGCAGAGCACACTCGCCCTCTGGCACAGAGGGAAGCTTCGATGTGTTCAATGGAGATGTACGCGTCGCTTACATCTACTGGGACTGTCCTTGGGGCTCGAAGCGCAACCAGTTCCGCGTTGACAGGATTGCTGATGATTACTGGGTGGAGACCGGTTATTGGAATCAATCGGGCGGTGCTATTGGTAGTGTTACGGTCGAAATTGGGAGGAGGGATCGGGCGATTCGGTCGAGTCTGTAGATAGGGTGGAATCTGTGCTTCTTGTCCTGCTAATGCAGGAGTGGTTGGATTGTTGAGATTATGTGTTTGGGTAGAGGGTGATGGATCGGTGTGATGTGGTTGAGTCATGATTAACTCCTTGTCATTGATGCGACAGAAGACTAAATTATCGTTTTTATCTTATTGCAACCGATGGTTTATAGTGGACAGCACGAGTAAAGAGGTAGAAAATCATAAAATTTGTAGGATCGACACATCTTCCCCCTTATCGGGATTTGCTCTGCATTAGCGCAGGGACTGAAGTTTGGATTGAAAGGCTGATATGATAGATCATCAACTGACAGGTACTCTAGATAGAGTGTCGACCATGTTCAAGATATATAATACTGTATTGCCTCATCTGTCCGTATACTTGTCTTGTCTGCTTTGACACTGAGGTCTTTCGGACATGTTGGTATCTTCCTAACAGTGCAATCGGTGTAGAGGCATCAACTCTTCATCGACCACCACCACAACAAAAACAACTCAACTCACAAAACAGCAGTTGTAGCAATTACTGCACACAACTGAACCCCTTTCCCAGAGCTAAAAATAATTTGAAAAACAAAAACGACGACAGTCGGATTTGAACCGACGCCTCCGAAGAGAATAGATTTCTAGTCTATCGCCTTAGACCGCTCGGCCATATCGTCTTATGATGAAGCACTCGCAAATATGCTATAAGAGATCGTCAACAGATGCATTCAAGAAATCCTGTCTATATCATAAATCATTGATGCCATATTCATACTAATCATATACAACTATGCACTATTTACTCTCCATCATCTCGATCAGTTCCTCGTACTCGCCCGTATTCCGCACCATTTCCCAAAATACGCCCTTTTTCGCGACCAGTCGCGCCGGTGAATCATTCCTGTTGATATTCAATTAGCTTCGTTCGTAAATCAAAATGATGATAAAGGGTGTGCCATTGACGCACTCGATAATCTCCCCATCCGCCATCACCAATACTCGATCATAGTCCATGATCGTCCGCAATCGATGCGCAATTGCTATGATCGTGCAATCGGCAAACATCGTCCGCAATACCTTTTGCATATGCGAGTCTGTTTCGTGATCCACCGACGCCGTCGCCTCATCCAGCAACACCACTTTTGATCGCCGACACATAGCCCGCGCCAGGCTCAGAACCTGTCGCTGACCCTGGCTGAAGTTCTCTCCGTTCGCAGCAACCGGCGTGTCCAGCGCCAGCGGCCGCATTGTCCGGCTCTCACCCTCGCCCTCGCCAGGGACATGGACCGTCGTGCACGCCGATAGCGCCGCGCGCAGCTCGGTCTCGCTGGACTCCCCAAACGGGTCGAGATTGGACTGCACGTCGCCAGAGAAGAGCACCGGCTCTTGGGGAATCAGCGTCACGTTGGTGCGCAGCCGGTTTAGGCGGATCTGGTCAATGTTGACTCCATCAATGGTTACGCTGCCGTCGACGATATCGACGAAGCGGAGCAGTGATAGCCCCAGGGTTGACTTGCCGCTGCCGGTCCGGCCGACGATGCCGACGCGCTCGCCTGGGTACGCGACGAAGGATACTTTGCGGAGTACGTCGGGCCCGTCGGGTTGGTAGCGGGCAGTGACGTTGTTGAATTCGACGCGGCCGGAGGTTGGCCAGCTGGCTGGTAGAGCGTCGGCTTTGCGTTGCTCTTCTGTTTCTAGTTTCTCCTCTGGCTCGATGTCGCCGTATTCTGTCATGCGTTGGAAGGAGTTCAACTCCACTTCGAGCTCATTGAGCGTCCGGACTAGCGTCAGAATCGTCTGGCTGAGGCCGATGGCGTTCGTCAGAGAGAATCCCACCAGACCTGCTGATCCGGACCAAAAGTATGCTACGCAGCCGGCTGCGGCTGCTACAGACGCGGCGCAAAAGTCCGTCCGGACTGAAACCCAGCGGTTGCAGTTGTATTGTGCCTCGGAGGAGCGGGCGTGGACTGCCAACTTCTCGGCCAGCAGATTCTGGAACACCTGGTCCATACCGTGCCGAGCTCGGATCACGCTCAGTCCTGACAACGAGTCGGTAAAGTGCGAGAAAACAGGGGAGTAATTGATAGAGGTCAGCCGCTTGATCGATACTTGAGCACGTGTGTACATCTCTCCGATGACGAACCCTGCAGCGCAAATAACGGCTGCCGGGAGAGCAAAGATAGGCATGATGGAAGCGACACTGGCAATTCGAAGCAGAAAGCGTAGGGTATTCTCGATTGACATCCGCAGCCACTCAACAAGAACTGTGTCCAGAGACCGTGTGTCATTTCCGAACCGGTTGATGGCACGCCCGATCGGATTCTGATCGAACCAGGCAATCGGTGCAGATAGCACGGCCGTCACCAGCCGGTGGTGCGTCTTCTTAGCAGCCACCCAGCTGCCATACTGATAAATAAGATTGTTGCATAACTGCAAGGTCAAGAAGGTGATGATGCACGCTGCGTATATCCCGAGGTAGAACAACGTATTGGGGTGCTCGTATTTGTCGTACGCCCCGGTCCAGATAGATAGCCAGTACGTGATGGCGAAGTAGGCAAATTGCACGGAGATGGTTGCAATCACGACTAGCGGGACATAGGAAGCGCCACCGAATAGCATCATATAACGAAGCGCTGATCTGTTAGCAATGCCCAAAGCCATCTAAGTCATCAGATTCTTACCTAGCGTGCGAGGCACTCGTCCCGTAGCAGAGGTCTCCTTAGCTATGCGTTCTTCCGCGGGCGGTTGCTTTCCCCCAGCAGCAATGGGTGGGGGCTCCGACGGGGATTCCAGGGCTTCGTCTGCCACGCGCACATTGCTCTCCGACACCGAAGAGTCTGTATCAGTGCCGGGTGTGGTGCATCGGGAGGACATGAGAGATAGTGTAGTCTTGGAGATAGCCCGAGCGGGGACAATCCTACCATGCTCCAACCGGATCACCAAGTCGGCATCCTGCAAGGCGGCTGGGTAGTGGGTGATTAAAACGACCGTGCGGTCCTTGAGTAGACCGCTGCGGAAACACTTCTCATAGACAAGACTGGTTGTATGGGTGTCGAGTGCGGAGAAGATGTCATCAAATAGCAGCGTGTTCGACGGCGAATACAGTGCCCTTGCCAAAGATACTCGCTGCTTCTGACCGCCGGAAAGCGAGGTTCCTCGCTCTCCTACCATGGTGAGGTCACCTGCCGGAAGCTGTTGCAGGTCTTGGGTTAGACCACTGGCTTCGATGGCCATGGCATAGCGGGCTTCATCGAATGGGCTATAGAAAACGATGTTCTGACGGATCGTATCGTTCTGCAACCAAGGTGCCTGTGGAACGTATGCTACATCGCGCGGGCAAGTAGCAGTTCCAGATTCCAAGACTGTCTCTCCCAGGAAGGACAGGAGAAGCGACGTCTTCCCGCAGCCGGTTGGGCCCGTCACCACATTGAGGGCGTTAGACTTGAAGCGGAGGGTGATATCCTGCAGCCTGAAGGCGGCAATTGGGGTGCGGCGAAAGGTGGCATCCTTAAACTCTAACGGGCCATCTGGATGCCGCTTGATTTCACTAGCAGTGTCAAAAAAGTGGTCGACACGACGCAGCGACTCTGATCCTTGCGCGGTATAGCGGCTGATATTGGACAACCAGATGAACTGAACGCGCAGCGTTTCCATGATAGACAATGAAGTAAAGGCGACAGGTGCCCTCAAAGGAAGATCAGTGAACAATATATAAACAGAAAACATGACGAGAAGACTAAGGAGCGGCAGCAGCTCGCCGCCCATGGAGATAAGAGCCACAAAAACGCTGCGTCTCCACAGATGGCGCTGCTCTACACGGCGAACGTCGTTGATGTTGTTCATCGCAGCATGCTCCCACCCAAAGTACTTCAACGTGCGGATGGACCCCAAGTACTCGGAGATCTTGGACAGCCGAGCATCCGTAGCCTGCATAACAGTGCGTTGGATGCGGGAGACTTTCCGCGAAGCCAGGGCAGGCAGCGGAGACAAACACAGCAGCATGAGAACACCAAACAGCGACGGCCATCCTAGCATCTGATACAGAAACACCAGAGCCAAGGTAGTCGAGATCGGGCCTGCGGTGGCTATATAGAAAATATCACGGGAGTTGTAGATAGCGTCAACATCGTAAGACATCAAGCTAGTCAGATTGGCCTGGCTCGACTTGGAGGCACCCTTGGACTCGGCCCGGTGCTTCGACTTCGCATGCTTCCCTGAAGAGTGGCCCACAGAGTCGTCGTAGATGTACGAGCGCATCGCAGTCTGATAGAGCTCCTGGACGAGTGATACATTCACCCGAACCAGTAGTCGGGTTGCCGTGAAGATATACTGTTGGTAGCAGAGCGAGCGTGTCGCCGGACCAGCAAATAGTAGTGCGATCCACAATGCAGGATGGAGCACTGCACTACTGGGGTTCTCCAGATAGGCTAATAACCGCAGCATAGAGTATGGCGCAAGAAAGTCCACCACCGCCGTAAGGGCCGCCCAGAACATCATGGTTTTGATTTCCGTCTTCAGCATGCGACATAACGTGCGGAAGGTCTTGCCGCCTTTGAGCCGCTGCTTCTTGATCTTTGCTAGCCACTTCAATGGCTCGTCGTATGACGGCAGTGGGGGTAGATCATCCAAAGTCAGATCCCTCTGACAGCCTCGCAGGATCACATGGGTGATCCACTCATACGAGCAGTAGTAGGAAAAGAGAGAGCATGTCTCTTCTGGAGAAGCCTTCTCTTCAACCACTAGATCGTCCGTCTCTGCGTCATGAACAACCGAGCGTCGTGGACGTGGCGTAGCCGCTGCAATTGCCACAGCCGCCGCCAAACAGGCCACAATAGCAACTCCAATAGGGGTTGGCCTATAGGTAGCTCCGATCACCATCATGGGTACTATATCCTGCACCACGGCCAGAATGAGAGCCGTTGTCACCATTGCATTCATATGCCAATACATATGACGTCGGTAGTCATAGCTCTTGCTGCAGAGCCGGCCGATACCAAGCAATACCACGTAGGTCAAAAGGGCGGACCGTTTCCAACTCTCCCCATTCTGTATGTCGACCCAGGTGAGGCAACAGGCCGCAATAGCGACAGCCAGGTGTGCGAACGCGAACGGCAGAGATACCACAATTTCGGACTGACCATGCGGGGTAGTCTTCGGCGATCGTGATTTCTTCCGGTAGGAACGGATGTAGCGCAGACTTATCGACAAAAATATCACAGTCCATGATGCTAGTATCGCCGCCAGGTGCAGGTTGCCGGATCCAACAAAGGCGGACGCCTTCCGAGTCCGATATTGCCATAATTCCCTAGAGCAGCTGCAAGTCAGTGATGCCATTGCCCACGATCTTGCTGGAATAAACCCACCTCTGCACCAGACCAGGGTTCGGAGTATAAGCAATCTCGCCAGCCCCGCCTTGGATTGCTAGAGGCACCACGGCCGCGGGCACGATGGCCGCAAGATGCTCCATCGGTCAAATTGTAGTCTGCAACGGGCAGACAAGCTCACTCATGGGCAGTTGGCGCTTTCGTCATAACCAAGTGAGAGCTCTCTGGAAACTGCCCGACAGCATTGGAGATTGGCGAGGGTGGTGGAAGGCAGTTATAGAGCACGGGTCGAAAGGACACTACCCATTGTCTTAAAGACTCCGGTAATGAGAGGCTGCACAGTAGCCGGAGGT